CTAGTATGTTAAAAAATGCCATGGAGAGGGATTTTATTCAAGAGTTATTTCCCTACCTTACTGTGGAATTCTTCAAACTGTGAATCACCTTGTTGTCTACAAGTGCAACCACCACTCACTGTAACTGGAACAAATAAGCAAACACTTTCTAGAGTTGGTAAATTTTATGTAAGAACTCAAACACCAAAAAAATTCTTTAATTTAAGTTTAAAACTTTGAGCATTCTTTAGAAATTAAGCACCGCAACTTTACAACACTGAATATCATAGTGCATGCACTTTGGCAACCAACCCACCTACCTTTCTTCTCTTTCTCTGTCTTGTTTTCTTCGCTGGATGTTGTGGGTTTTTGGTAATGTCTTATTCCACCAAGGTGAGACAATAAGTGTCTGGTTGTAAGTGTGACTGGGGAGCCTCTAAAAGATTTCTCAGGAAATGATGTGACATATTTTTGGATTGGTGCATCAAGGTCTAACTTGCCTTCTTCCCACAGCTTGGCTGACAAATCATAGATAAAAAATGTTGGACGTGATAGAGAGATCATGGTTAAAATCCTATAAAATCCTGTACAATCTCTTAACATCCTTTACCCTTTACACACTGACATCAGTATATATATTCTCAATACTGTTCTCTATACATTTCCCAAGGTTCTGAAAAGGAGAATTTGTATAACAACATCACTTGCACCTAACTGAATCAAGCACTTCCTACACAAGCTAATTTTCATTCCTTTTAATTTCAGAGAATCACCCACCTACAGCTGTTGCAGTAATAGGCTTACTGATACTTGCAATTCGCATGACAGTTTTACTGGTACACAACACTCTATTCTCTACATCTGCAAAGCCAAATCCTTCACTCCAAACAGTTTTTCCATCCAGGCTAACAGCTATACAAACTCCAGGGCAACCAATTTCTTCCTTCATACATTTTATGATATATCGTGATTCCTCTATGGCAGATTGAATGGTCCAAGATGAGTGGTCATAGATATTTTCTTCACTTTTGGTCTGATGTAATTGTTCAGGGGAAAAACTTAAAAGTCTTTGATATGTAAACTTTCAAGACTTCAATACTTTTCAGTCTTGAACAACAAACCGCTTTAAATTGCACTGTATCCATACTCTCAGAATTTTTTATTCAGAATAATACTAAACTTAGCAATGCATTTAAATTGTAAATGAAAAGCATTGGCACATTGATCATACTGTGTTTGGGAGTGAAAGATGTTTAAGCACCACTCCCTTCAAATTTCCCTTAAGATGGTCATTTTGCCAACATGTCAATTTTCCAAGGACCAGTTTGCCAACGTATGAAGTAAGATTGCCAATGTCATGGTTCAGTTCTTCTGTCGATGCTTGTATGTCAGTTTGCCAAGTTACCTATTTGGGGACAATTAATTTCAACTAAAAGCTTTATTTTGGACATTGGCGAACTGACATGTAGGCGTTGGCCTCACATGTTGGCGAACTAGTCGTTAGCAAAAAGACCCGTTGGCGAAACAACCAGCATTCCTTCAAATTAAGGGGTACTCCCTGGCAATGACATGTGTAATAGGTAAGGTACCCCTACGTCATAAGTATGTGTCAGTGAAAGTAATTTGTTGATGGAAAAAAAAGAGAACGTCAAACAATCCACTAGTCTAATTCAAACAGATTATTCGACCATGTACGCCAGGTCTAAGGATGAAGTCCATCTTTTAAACCCAGTCCGTAGCTCATGTCTACATAATCTCATATTGACCCCACTGAAACGATCATTGCATCTTAAGGATACGGATATTTGAAGTGGAGAGTTATTTTCCTTTTCTTCGCTTTTCTTTTCGACGAACGAGGCCTCAATTCGCGATGTCTTTCTTTGTTTCTTTCCATACAAAATTCCGGAAAATCCCAATAAACCAGCAAGTCCAAAACCAAGAAAAAAGGCAGTTTTGGGCGATCTCCTCCCTGTTTCTGCGGGATTTAACTGATGCTTGGTAGAGCAATTTAGATCTCTCACAGTTCCTAAAAATCTACTGCTTGGTAAAGACTGAAAAAATCTTTTGATAAATGGAGCCGCCATTTTGGAATGATTATCCCCTAGTCCTTCATTGCTCCCTTGGGCTCTGGGAATGAGATGGTTGAGACGGCCATCCATTCAGCGGGAATTTCATTATTCAAATGCGTAGTAGAAGTACGAGCATGAAAACAAAATGGCGACCAAATTGACTATCGTTGAAAGTCTGAATAAATGGAAATGAAATGCAGCTGATACGCAACCCTTTATTATGATATTAGCTTATATTGTTGGAATAGTTTTCCTTTTACTGTTGGCAGCCATCTTTTTAGGAAGGTATGTAATGTGTGGTTGACCTCACTATATGAGCGCGCTGAAGCTTTTTTTTCTCGAAGTGTCTTTCAATGCATTTGAAGGGTTACCTAAGTTAGTTTGATAGGAATGTAACCTATTGTATCAAATATTGAAAATAGCATCTAAGGTGAAATTCTTGATTTATTTTTGAGAAGGAAATGCAAGTGCATTTTGGTGATTATCTGTGCTTGTTTAACAACAACAAAAACAACAACAACAACAACAACGATAACAACAACGTTTCGTTCGCTCAACATAAATTCGTAAAATAAGCGAATAGTGTTTAATCATTCAATTATAGAACTGACTGAAGACGAAATTAGATTTTAAATGTACTCTAGATGTAAATATATTTGAATGTCTGAAATCCACTGGCCATAACCTAGAGTGGCTTTTTTTTTTCCCAAGGTTCTTTGCTTGGCTTCTGGAGATCTTTGCTCAGTATGTTCTTCAGCTGGATCTAAAACTTGACACACTTGGCTTATTTGGTGCAAATGGTATTGAAATTAAATTCAACAATGGGTTGAAAATTGTAAGTGGAAATTGTAAGCTGCATGAATTCAGTAGCTTGTATGTTGGACTCTGATGTGAGAGGTTAAGGGTTTGATCTTCGGCCAGGGACCTTTTTTCAAAGGTTCTGGTAACTTACAGTGACAGGCTGTTAAAGCTGTTCTGTTTTCTTTAAGATGGGGTTTTTTTACCTCAATGAAACTATCTGCCAAAGAAACAAAATGGATCAGTTAGGGTGCCAGAACTTTCTTCTCTAACCTTCATTTTTTATTTCAAAATATGGCTTACAGACTGTTGAGTTACCAGGACTTTTGACAAACAGGTCCCTTTTTTCGAGGCTTAATGTCATGTGGGCAAGTTGGAAACCAAATCATTGGAAGGGTTTTGATTTGGTGTTGTTGTGGTAATGGGTGCCTTAAGGTGGGCTGTGGCTCAACAGCTGTCTGCAAAAGTGACCTAATTAGGATTGGAACTCAGATTGCTTGATCTAGAGGTTAGCACACAACCTCTTGGAAAAGTTGCCAAATGAGATTCAAGACATACATGTGAGTTAAAAGAGTCCTTCTAATGCATGATTACAATTTAGGATAAATTAGCCTATACCTTTAAACCTTTTTACAGCAGGATGTGTGTTGTTTCTATTTTGTTTCTTGTAGGGAATAGAAAATATAGGTCTTCACTGCAAGTGGACTCTAACTGACTCCAAGTAAGAGTGATATTATTCAGAAAACAGTTAATCATGTATTGATTAATAATTTGTAGTTGTGAAAAACAAGCATTAATTTAATTTTTGAATACTCACCCACTAGTGCTCTAGAAGAAATGAGATATGCTACTTTGGTGGATAAGAGTTGAAAAGTTTTCAGGCTACTAATCAGGAATTTAAAACCATTTTGTAGGAGGCTTTTTACAGTGTTCTTTAGAAGGGTTGTTATAGAGGTAATAAAGATTGAGGTTGATGGCAATGGTACCCATCATCTGGATCAGGCATCAAGCCATGGCAGTTCATCAAAAAACTTTGGTATGGGTTACATACTGTATTTTTTTTGTCAGTAGTCAATGATAAAATAAAATTGTTTAATTTCTCTTATAGAGACTAAATTGTGTCCACATTCAGCTTGACATTCTCATTTTAACATCATATTTTGAGCTCCTGTTTGGGGTTGCTGAAAGGATCTTGTGTATCCCTCTCAGTCTCTCATATACTCTGTGGTCTTCCTCCTTCTCTTTTCCCATTTATCCTTTCTTTAAGATACATTTCTCAACCACCTCTCTTTTCAAATGATAAGATTACTTCTGGAGCATACCTTTTTCTCCTCTTAAAGCTCTCTTAGTACAAGAGTGGTGTTTTAATTTCAAACAGAATGAAATGAAAATGAAAACTTATTGGTATAATTTTATGTATTAATAGTAACTATGCAGTATAATGTACACATTAGTCCTATTCATGGTCAGGAAGAAAAATAAGATATTGAAACAGTTACTTCATAAAACATAACATTTGATTTTTGTACTCCTGCAGTTGGAAAACACAAGAAAACAATCAAACGAGTTTTAAGAAAGTGTTGTCAGGTATGTTATTTACTTGAAATCTCTTAATTCCAGCAAAATTTTTGATTATGACTGACATTAAATTTTGTTTGTCAGAAATAATGAATTACTTAAATTTTTTCTATTGTCATTGTAGTTATCTATTAGTAAGTTTATAGGGTGGCATAAATACTCCAACTTGCTGGCAAAAGATGATAGGGATATGTGTTTGTTATCTGATCAACTATTCCTTCACCTTGTAACAGACAAGAACCTGTTACATCTTTCTGACACTTAGAATTTCTCAACACAAGTTATATGTATGCCTGGATAAGTTTCAAATTAATTGTGTAGTTATAAGAAGGTGATAAAGTCAGTCTTTATCTTAGTCAACTATTATGTTATGATCATGAAGTTTAGTACCATTCTGCTTCTATCACACATCTAAATAAACTTTCTCTTGATTTATTAAATAGTATGTAGGTATTCACATTTCCAGTGTAGATGTCAACCTTGGTAACAAACAATTACCTGGTACATTTTTCCAATGTACTCTACCCAAAGGCATGCAGTTTTGTGCAAGATCTGATCATGATCGGTGAGGTTTAGTTCATTTATGAGTACAAATACCTGTTAATTGGACAGTGGAACTGCAAATTCATGATTAGCTCTTACACCAGGTTTCAAATGATTCATTGTCTTGTAAAATATGTTGTCTTTCAGTCTATGTTCAACCTTGGAAATAAGCAAGATTGGGACACGATTATTCCAAGCAGATAATGAAAGTGTGCAGGTAAAGTTCTGTCTGTTATTAGAGATTTAGAAGATTTTAAGTGGCATTTCCATATCATCTAATAACAATAGCAAACTTATATCTATTTCCCACAAGTACTACACACAATGATATCATTTTACCAGCATGTTTTTCAATGTTAGGAACCATTAACTTTAGTATTGAAAAATTAACTCAACCAAATTCATTCTTACAGGGCACAACCACTGTTGCCGAGTCATCCAACCCTTTTGCAGAGATTTCGTGTTCAGTCCTTGCAGAAATTTCCATTGTGCCATTCGAAAGAATTCAATTGATGGTAAGTTGCTACCCCTCACCTTCCTTCTAGAAATCATACACCTTATTTTGAATAAAATTATTCAAATGGATAACATGAGATCCTAAGATAGAAGAGTTAAGAATTTTGTCTCCTTTTG